AATGAAGAAAATCTTCAGTTAATCGCCGCAAACTGACGTTAAAACGGAGACAAGAATTAGAAAAATTCTTTTGAAATATTTGTTTTAACGGTCTGTTGTTTTGCATTAAACAACTTTCCGCCATAGAAGTCGCAAATGGAGAAGAACAAAAGAATAAAATATTTTAAAAGTTATTATATTAGTTTGATGCAAACGTTTCGAAGTTTTTTTATAAGAAATAAAAAGAAGAGTTCTCGATTGTTAACTGACTAAACCAAAACTAAGTAAAAACGAAGAAAGGAATGTCCTTTGTACATTACAGTACCTTACAAAAGTTAGAGAACACATGTTATTTGTTTCGAAGTAAACATTTTTTTTTTTATTGACCACGTACAAAAGACGTCAAAATTGTTGCATCAATTCAATATTTAAAAATACATGAATTCATGTCAGTGGTAACCAGGAATAAAATTTGGAAAGACGTGTTTTCACGTCAGCGATCTTGAAAGTATTAATAGAAGCGGTAGATATCCGAAATGATTTAAAAAATAAATAGTTCACTTGAATACTATAATCAATATATAAATAAACCGAAAAGAAACCTATAGCTACAATTTTTATAAGGGTTACATATTAATCACGTTAGACGCTCGGTTGTTCTAGTATTAACTGTATGCCGAAAGGAATTCTGTCATTCGTGTAATTCATCAAGCATCAAGCACAAAAGCGACATTGCACGTTATCTTAGAATTAATCACTCAAGGTGTAAGAAAGACGGTTGGATTACACTAACGGAAGATGTATGTATGTATGCGGTGAATGGAACTAGTCATAACAATATGTTATAATAGTGACAATACTAACAAGATTCTGGAATAATGGGAACACATAAGCTATTAACTGACACCTTTAATAATGCAGAACAATATTAGCGGACACATTATCTTTACAGCGAGGTTCAGAGAAACATTCGCCGTTACGCGAGTTATTTGTAATGCTTAACGACGCTATCAATCGCTTCATACATTGTACCTGTGTCTCTTTATTTTTATTATCTCCTTATAAATACGTTTTTCTCTTTCTCTGCTTCCGCTAATGTACACATATGTTTACAATGAAAGTTTCTCTTAAGACGTTACTACGCAGAAAAGTGAAAATAATAGTCAATGACTTGGTTTAAAGGAATTATAAAGTGGTATAAGAGTCTTAATAAACATGAGTTCTGAAATGGGTTATCTTCTAAGTACTCGCGTTTTTGCTTCATTTATGTCATACGATGTACACTATTTATATAAAGAACTGTATGACTAGATAAATTTTTGCAACTAATATAAAATTGAAAATACATATTATAAATTGTAAAAATGTAATATGAAACTGAAAACTGAATATTTGAGAAATTATTAATGAGTTATTAATGTTTGGTTTATACAGACATAATTTTGTTTATAGAGACATAATTTATTATACGGTTAGTCCATGGATTCATGTTCGTTAAGACTTTTCTCATTGATCTGATACTTATTTTCCACACTTGTATATGTTAGAAAGAATTTGAATAACTATAATTTCATAATTATGAGACATTTCGCGTACCGACTGTTTTAAAATCTGAGATTACATTCGAACAAATATTTTTGCGAGGTATAAGCGTACTATCGGTAAAGAACTCACGGCCGCCATAAACTTTCTCACTAGGATGTCACGTGGTTCAGAAGCAGTTTAGAAGTTTCACTCTTGTGCAAATAAACCGGTGATAGTATAGAGTTTTCTACTGGCTGCGCGTTTCTTCTGCACGTTGCTAAGGAATAGCACTCGGAAAATTGTTGACATTGTAAAAATTTTATTGTTCGCCGGAAGAAAAGTCATTATAAGTCAAATGGAGCTTTTGTTCCGTGGAAAGTATCGTAAAATCGGAAATGAAAGCTGGACTGTTTCACGTCTACGACACTCAAAAGTATGAACTATCTTCGCTAACAAACGAATTTTTTTTTCATCAATAGTAATTTGCTATACGAAAAGAATTATTTGTATTTAGTAAAATTTCGGCAGTTATATACACATTTGTTTATACGAATATATACAATAACGATTAATTAAAATATTTTGTGATATTAAAAAAGTGAATTTTTTAAATTAAATTTATTTATTAAATAATGAAATGTAAAAAATGAAATTACTTCATAGGAAAAAAATTAATTCTCTTCTTAGGTTAAATTTAACATCTGGAAGAGCAATAATAATATGTAATAAAGTAAAAAAAATTTTAATGGAAGATAGTTAAATAGAAATTTCGAAAACATTGAACGATACATTTAAATAACACGTAATAGTATTGATTACGTATCTGGGATATGATTTAACTGTAAGAGGAAAAATAACGTACTTACTTAGATTTGCAATTGCACGGTGCGGCGGCTTTCTATTTCTGTGGAATCCAGTCGTGGAAATCTGTAGAAAATTCTCAGACATTCTAGATCCTTATAATATTATATAAAAGCAAAAATATCAAGGACTCTGAGAATATTACATTACTTATTATTGAAAAATAAAACTATTTCTCCAATTTTTAATTATAAGAAATTTAAATATATAAACAACATTCAAATATATCAGTTAAATAATGATCCCTCTTCATTGTGAAATAAACCTGTGTAAAAATATTTTCCTTTGAAAAATCAATAATTGAACAACAAAACTATTTCATTTCAACAAATAAGAAAAATGTTAATAACACAAAATTAGTTTGTTTTTAAAACAATATGTTTAGCAAAACCTTTTCTATCCGAACTAACTGACAATGAGGAAATTTTCAATGATTTTCCGAGATTACTTTTATAAAAAATTAAATGCTAAAATAAAAATTATGTTTAATGAATAATATGATTTGAAATTGAAGAATTTGTGCTCTTGTGCTTTTAGTGAGTTTTCCTTCTATTGGCTATACGTTCAATAAATATTATCGTACTCATAAATTCAAATTAGTAGCATACTAATATGATACATCTCTTAATATGAAATTAGTAGAACGATTAAGCGAGAAATTCTTCAATTAACGAATTATTTGAAACATTTTCGTGTAAAATCGAATATGTGTCACATATCTAATAACGAACAAGTATTTAGCACACATGAATATAAATGTGCTGCAGTATCAAACACATAAATGTACATATAATTTTATCGAATGCACGTTGACTTTTGTATGCAGAGATCATAATTTTCATTATTCTGAAATTCGATAAATAGTCCACGATCATTTGCTAAATTGTACAGGATACCAGTTAATATAAATTTATAATAAATAATTTCAGTTCTTTACCGAGCAGTACATTATACTTCAGTGCAGTATTTATTGAATATCAAATATCTACAGAGCGTAAAAGAAGCAATGGATACAATTTTTAAATATATAATAAATACACTCATGAATCTCGAGATCCACCAACCCTTAGCGGAAAAATGTCGCAATATACGCGGCACAGCATTTTTACTTATGAGGTCGAATGCCATGTATATTGCACCAAAAGATCATTTTACTATTTTCATCATAATTATCGTTACTGTATATAAATTAAAAATATTTTTATTTTACATTTAAGAATCATTTAAAACGTTAAATACCGCGACAGCTCCTAATAGTTAACCTTTTGCACGCCACCCTCTGTGGCCACTTGATTTAATATATACAAAATGATATTAATATTGATTTTTCACATTTAATATTAAGCTTTATGTAATATGTGAAATATTGGAACAAATAGAACTTTGCTCCTTAATTTACATAATATTGCATTTGCTTTCAAAACATATCGTCTGTATCAGAAAATGTTGAATATATTTAGCTAAATACATACCTTTGGAGTGCAAAGAGCTAATTTGCGTTTCCGTTTCTTATCTGTATATTCTATACAAAACAGTAAATAATAGTTAAAGTATTTCTAGGTCGTTAAGGGTAAAAAAAGTATAGTTAAAATTCTTATTAAACTGGATCGATATTATTTACAAATTTGTTATTTCTGTGTATTCGATGTAACACAGAAAGAACACGTACAACGTGGCACGCGATCTGATCGTGAATAACAGGAAACTCGCATAAACAGCGACGTGTTTACGCTATTTTGTTCTTTCCAAACTGTTTTTCACTTGAGTAGAGTAGCCATAAATCAGAAAAGAAAACAAGCATCGGAAACGTTTCTGTGACAAAATTTTCTAACAAATCTCAATAAAAGACGTAAGTTTCACCGTAGAAGCCATCGATAATCCATTACTTATTTTACGCTTTGTACGAGCTATCAATCGTGAAAGGAAAAAAAGGGTAGAAAAGAAATTCACCTGTCTCTCCATTTATGCGGAGTATCCACTCCACGTGGATTTGTTTTGTGCTAATGGAAATCGCGTAAATAGAGTCTGTCGGTGTCAAAAAAGGGACGAGGCGTCAGAATTAGAGTTTTTTAAAGGAGACCTAATAACACAAAGTTTGGAAACCACTGGTGTATAGGAAAATATCAGGGATTGAAAAGCTTCTAATAATCACTATCTGAAACTGTTATATATCGGTCCGACTAAAACAATTATGGAGAACCGAAATAGGGTCATAACTGTTATTCATTTATAATACAATATAATATAATATAATATAATGTAATATATACAAATAATTATTTATATATAATTTGAATTATATATAAATTGAACCATGTTATTTTAGCAAACAAAATTTCCGATCGAACCGCTAGCATCAGAATAATCTAAGCTGATCCATCTTCGTGGTCCACCCTGTAGAACCGAAAGCGATATACCGAATTACAGTTGTGACTATATTTTGGTTTTCCATAACTGTTTCAAGAACCGAAACCGATATCGTAACCGTTTCCAACCCCTGGAAAATACTCGGCGAAATATCGAGCATAGTCTTAATCGAGGTTCGCGGTTGCAAGGAGGACGTACGGTCTGAACGAAACTGTCAAAACAGAGGGAGAATCGAGGAACCGTTAACCAAGCTCGATTGAAACCTTCAGCAAAATAGTCCCCTGGCTGTGCTTCATGGGCCGGCTGACGTACCAGGCAGGAGGGATGAGGATCGTTGTACGTGGAAGACAGGCCAGCAGGTCCGAGGCGCCGATCCTAGTGGTTGCACCCCATTCCACATTCATGGACGGCGGGATCGTCTACATAACTGGCTTCCCTTCGATCATCGTAAGGCGAGAGTCGGGACTGAATCCGTTCATCGGAAGTATGTGATCATTATTGAAAAGATTCCACCACTCGTCCTCCCGATTAACCGAATCGAGCCAACTAACCAACTCCGTCGCTTCAACGCTGCTTCTAGATGAATAGAGTATGTCAGGGGAGATGGTCCACTTTTTTCAAACGTTGCATCGTAAATATCATTAATATTTTACAAAAGGAAAACATATATTGGGGAGGTTGGAGTAAATTGGAACGCATGGATAAAACGGAACACCAATGTTTTTGTAGGTAATATTTGTACACTGATCTGCAGACGATCAGAAACTATATCGAGGATTATTATCCTGCGGCTCTCACGTTCTGAATTGTATAATTACGTTGGATGGTTAAATAACATTGGAAAATTTTGTTACGTAGAACCCTTTTACTTAGACGTCACTGCGAAGGCTGTAAACGAGTGCCTGAGAAGGACACTGTTTAGTCGAAGGACCACGTTTGTCAGCGTGGCTCTCGTTCTGTTTATTGCATCTCGAGAGTCGAGAACGCTTTCCCTTAATCGAGCTGCGTCAACGATAGGAAACAAAATTCTCTAAAGTTCCATCGCATTCGGTCTAGCTTCTGTTCTTTGTTATTGCCACGTGCCAATAATGACCATGCGTCGAAAGCCGAGCGTTGTGAGTGAAAGACTCCCCTTATCCCTCTTCACTTTTAAACCAACGGTCGGCTTGGCTAACGTGGTGTACCTCCACAGTAGGTCTATATCATGCAACACCAGTTCGATACGAGCTCGTTATCTACGAAAAATATTGGTCTTCCGTTTTACCCTTTTCTCCCCTATAAAAATGCATAAGTATATATAATATATTTTTGTAAAAGTAAATAGGGGAAAGTAGCTTAACTTGGACCGGTTTCTACATTGGACCGTAACTTCTTTTCATATTTAAATTGATTTTAACAATATCTTTTAGCGTGAAATTATAGTTTCTGTGCGGTTTAGTAAGGATACTGAAACAGACGGTTGTATAATAAGTGATAATTTTAGTCCGTTTACTTCAACGCCGGCTAATGTAATTCTATTTTATACTCGTCTATAATTCGTGTAATTTTTGTTTTCATATTGTTTATTTCTGTAGTTTCAAATCCGAATTTTATTTAGTTTTTTACGGTACGCTGTTAAATCAGAATTTATATTATCAGAATTAGCTTTTTATATTTTTATAATACGTAAATATTACTGGTGATTCAAATTAAGAAACCGGTTTTCTAAATTGAACTGTTAACGCTATTTTGGAAATATCAGTCGGTTTTTTCACGTGTATGCATCAACTGTGATGCTAAGATTTTTCTCGATTTTTTCTGCTCGAATTTGTGAACACACATTTTCGATTTATGGAAGTATTTTACGTGGTCCAATGTAGGGGACTTTTCTCTCCGTATAAGAATAGTTAAGTAGATACCTGTGCAAGATTCGATGTACCACTAAAATGGTATGATTGATAATAATGATTGATAATATAGATATTTGACAATGTAAATGAGATGGGGCCATCTCACCCGGAATTACCTTAACACATTTTTCGAAAGCAGTTTAATCAACGTCAGATACCGTTTAATCGAGTACAGTATTTTCTCTCTACCATCACGACAATCAACAATATCAATACAACTGTGCAGAGTGGTCCATGAAATTGTTACAAATCGCAGTTCATCTATTAAAACAATCGGAAAATTAATGGAAGAAAAGAATTAGGCTTGATTTTCACTAATGATCAACGATACGGTTAGATCACGATCAATCACTATCAAGGAGTTTACCAAACCACTTGTAACTTTTCAAATGTATACTTTCTGGCAGCGATTCATAAAAAAAAGTATTAGACAACATACTATTTTTCGAAGTAGCCTAGATAACGTGTTTTCATTGCACTCGCAATAATATATGAACACTATTAAAGTTTATTAACAGCAGTAAGTGTCTACCTCACTGTGTTCTGCAGGTTATAAAGTGCAGTAAATGCAGAAACGCCTGTAATCGGATGACGAAATTAGAAAAATGTCGACGAAAAGCGTTACCGCAGAAAGAGAATACTGTACTCGAAAATACGATGATTTAGCTAGCTTAGATACTCAGGCAAAATATGTAAAATAATCTGTTAAAAATTAATGTTAAATGGTAGGTTTATTGCGTATGGTATATATGCAAATTTTCATAAGCTATTTTATATAAACGAACATCAGCAACAAATTTTTATTTACCAGAAATACGTTGACTGCCACATCAGCGCATAAAAATGTACATACCGTCAAAACATTTTCATTTTCTTTGCACAATTTTTGCAAATTTTAATTATTACTTAAAAAATATGAATATTCATTATTTATAATAGCAGCTATTTATGTAACCTTCTGAATAAAATGCATTTAAACTGTTTGGTATACATTTTGTCCTTATCTTACCATGAAGATTGACATACAATTCTGAAACATTTTATCGCATATGTGTGAGCGATGTGGCAGTTAAACGTTAAGAACTATCGTTCGGTTAAAAACAAAATAATCATTTCAGAATATTAATCAATTATTTCATTTTATTTGCACTTTACAGAATCAATTGTACTTGAACAAATTCCATGGTCCAAGGAATGCACGTTCCAATCAGTTGAAATCAGTTTGAGCATACAGTGTGTCCCATTATTCTATGGCATATTTCTTATTAATTGTTTTCAAGAATTACAGTGTTTTTTTTTCCTTGCTGTAGTCGAAACGAAACCTTGATCAAACGCATTTCCTCGGTGTAAACTACATATCAATTAACCCTTTGCACTCCAGGGACGCCTCTTGATTTGACACAGGGAAACTGTACAGTTTGATATTTAATATTAAACTCCGTGTAATGCATCAATATGTGAAACATTGAAATAAAATAGTTCTGGTCCTCAATTTATGTGCGATTTCTCGTCAAGTTAGTTTCAGAAGATGTTTTTTTGTATCTCATTAAAAAGTGTTGAGTATTTTCAGCGAAACACTTCTGGAGTACAAAAGGTTAATATGTAAAGTGTACTGAGAAAACGAATTCAAGACATTAAGAGAACAAAACTGTAAAAGATTAATTGTACCATTCACCACTACATGTATATTTACGTAAATACAGCTACGAAGTTGCAGTAAAAAGTTTTATAGACAGGGATAAAACATGGAAACATGGTGTTGATAACATCACGTGAAATAAATTTAAACGATTCGAACGTTATTTAACACTCATTTATATGTCTGTTTGTGTCGCCATTGACAGAACTTATCAACTACACGCAGCCGGTCTATGTGTGGAGGGAAGATCCGAATTCACGGCAAAATACGATCAAGGAAATCATCGAGAGGGCTACATCGAAGGAGGATTGGCCACAGGTATCGATAACAGAGTAAAACAATATTTTCTACTTTTTTTGTCTCATTTTAATTTGGTGTGCCCGTTTTCTTTCATTTACAGCAAATTTTGAGATTAAAGTTAGGAGTATTCGACTATTTTATTTTGTAAATTGTGTAATATATAATTCGTTGTTGAATACTTTGATTTGTGGGAGATTTAAAAAATTAGAGGTATATTACTTATTGCAAAAATGGAGTATATAATTTTAAGCCTAAATAACTTTTGTTACTTTTAAAATATATTCACAGTATTTCAGCCATTTCTTTCGGCCAAATAATAAATTAACCAATTAACAAATAAAATTAAATAGTGTTCTTACAATGTACATACATAGTTAATATCGCCTCGAAAATTTTGAATGTTGATGCCCTTCCTGCCTTTAAAAAAAAGATATTTCGTATTTTTATAAAATCTTCAGTCAAAGATTAATCCTCAGACGACGAATATTCATTTTGACCTATAATATCATTTCGATTTTGCTCAGTTTCTAAAAACAAGTCTTTTAATTTGAAATGTTATGCACACCCCAATAATTACACATATTACAGTTATTTATATATTTACATATTTATTCACTTTACGACTGGCTTATTATTACATATTTATATGTTTATATATTTACTCTGTATGACGGTAATATCATAGTTTATTGATGTATTTACATATTTATTCATTTTATAAGTCATAAACTGCTATTGCCTCAGAATTATTGGATAATCCCATAAATAATACCGTTTTTCATATTTCTTTTATTTTTAAAAATAAAGATAAACAAAACTGTTTTTGAATGTTTTGAATTAAACTGTGTTTATAATTACTTTAAAAATAATTTTATTCGTCTTTATTTTTAAAGATAAAAAGAATATAAAATACCACACTATTCATGAGATAACACAATACTTTGCATTTATCTTATGAGAAATTGTAACTCATTACATGGCAGAAAGTTTATAAAACGCTTTTATAAAGATTCCGAAAACATGAACGATGATAATAAATCGAAATGTTCTGTGCACAATTCAGTAATATAATATACAATATAAAATAAAATATAAAATATTGTACATGCGTTAGGTGGCAATAAAAAGGAAGATACTTTTGCGGCAACCCAATAAGCATGTAAATAGTATGAAGCCAGTGAAACACGCGACACAGTATTCCACTGATATAATCGATTCACGTAACGCAATTACAGAGTGCAGTAGATACAATTAAGGATTGCATTGTTAGCTGATAAGAACCGTTCCTGGTTTACCAACGATGAGAAATAGTAACGGGCGAATGGGAAAGAACAAAATCCATGCAATATGATGCACATATATAACTATCAGATTACAGAGTTTCTCGAGTAACGTTCCATTTGCAGAGCTTCTTAGTGTTTCATTTCTGTTCTCACTATTTCGCGATGTTAACCAGCAACAGGATTGAGCAAATTATATTATAAAAGAAAAAATTTTTATTTTAAAAATAATCTAGAAAAAGGAGAAAATAATGAATGATAATTTAGGAAATAAAAAGTGGAAAATAACAAGTAATAATCTAGGAAACAAATAATAATCTAGGAAATAAAAATCAGAAGTTAATAAATGGTAATTTAGAAAATAAAAAGTAGAAAATAATAAATAATTTATGAAAATTAGGAAAGAGATGTCTACATCAAACAAGTCGTATATTAACAATTTTTTGTCTGTGTTAATTTCTTCAAATAAAATAATTAATCTTAATATCTCAAACACACAGTACCTTAGAAGGAAAAGTTCTCACCGACCTATGCATTTACTCAATTTTTATATATTTACCCTCGAATATGTTTGAGCTTATACGATGCCTACTTTACTAATAAAAGAGTTCGTTCTGTAAAGAAATTGCTTTCATATCGTACATTTTCAATAATACTAAAAACGGGATTATAACAAATTAATATTAAAATCATGTTCCGTGTGACTTTTACCAAGAGAAGTTTAATCGATCAATGAGAATTCACTCGTTCAGTGAAAGTTTCGTAAACATATAACTCAAAGAACAAATGTTTACACTTCATCGATAGTTGGCACAAGAATACTACAGAATGTCCGGTCAGGTGAACTCGATATTTTAAGAAGTGATTATGCAAACCAAAATAAATAGAAAATCAAGAACGGTGATATTATTTCTACGTCGTCCTCAGTTTAGATTTTTACCTACCACCACCATAATTTTATCATTTTTGATTTCAGAATAATATAGGATAAGTCTTATTTGGACTTTTAGAATCGTCCCTTAAAATACTTGTCATGCCTATCGTTAGTCAAACATCCTATATATTCAACGATGCTTCAAAGTTTCATGAACCTGTCTCTTAACCCTTTGCACTCAATAATACTTAATATTATAAATATTCGTTATTTCCTAATAAAATATTGATAACATTATTTGCAACTAACGTAAAGAAAAATCTTGCATAAATTAAAAGACAGAATTGTTTTATTTTTATGTTTCACGTGTTGATACCTTACACAAACTTCAATATTGAATTGAAAATTTTACAGTTTTACTGTGTTTAATCCAATGTCAACTAGGAATCGCCTCTCGAGTGCAAAGGGTCAACACTAAAACTACCGAACGAGTCAAAATGACCCATTCCTGATTTCTCCTTTTTACAATTATTGAGAAGATAAATTGAATTGTAAAACAATTAAAATCTGAATAGATGCATTCTTGGAGTTTCTATAGAAGAATTTTAAAAAGTCAGTTTAACTGCTTGGTAGTTTAGTGTTAATACATTCCTGGCCGATGATGTGAGTTCACGTCATTTATAATTTTGTTTCTGGTTGACTTTTTTGGCAAAACTTTTTTATGTCCAACGTATATTTAGAAGCCCGATATTTCAAATCAAATTTTACCATTTTTAACCTTGTTTTAATGACAGAGATTCACGGCAACCAGCTTGAAAATTTCTTTGTTCCAGTCGGCTTTTAATTAGAGAAAGGTGAAAGTATTGCTGGCCGTGATTGTGTTAACACGTCTTGTTTTTGTCGTTGAATAAATTCCAGACACACGATGATACCTGAGTCATGTTATCGAAACCGATTAACCTTCGGGCTATCGATATATTAGTCGTTTCTGCATATATTTATGCATGATCGAATAAACGATCTTACATCGTATTACATTCTGTTTCTTTTTCTGAGGTTTTTTTCTTTTTTTCACTTTCGGGTAACCGGGATGACAGTAATACTTATTAACTACGTACCAGCAGTATTAAAGTAAACATAACATCTTTAAATATTTTACATTCAAAATAATTAAATAAATAAATAATATTGATAAATAAATAAAATTAATGTTCGTTCATTTAGATCTTAGAAATTAGGGATTAAAAAATAGACTATTAGGATACATATTCCTGTAATTGCATCATTCAAAATCGACGTAAACATTTACCAGGGAATGTTTATAAAATTTAATATGCGTCACATTGTCGCGTTCCATAAACCTAGTATTAAATTATGAAAATTGTCGTCTCCGCCTCCGTGTTTTATAATTATACTTCGTATCTAGTCGACCGGTCGTCCGAGGGTTGAAAGGCCCGAAATTTTTCAAGATTTTCGAGGCGACACATACTCCACAGAGATTGATAACCAAATTAATTATTTCTACCTACAGGTGATGATTTTCCCAGAAGGCACCTGTACGAATCGGTCCTGCCTAATTACTTTTAAGTCCGGTGCATTCTATCCTGGCGTCCCGGTCCAGCCTGTGTGCATTAGGTATCCTAATAAATTGGACACGGTCACTTGGACTTGGGAGGGTCCTGGAGCGTGAGTATTTACTAATTCATATTATACTAATTTATATCATCTAAACTAATTTATATTGTACTATTTATTTTCTAATCGTTTAGCGTAAGAAAATGTGCTAGTAAGGAAAATTAGGAATACTAATTATTGACAGTCAAAATAAAAATAGCAGTTAACTTACTAGACGGAAACTGTCTATAATTAATTAATTAGCTGTCTATAATTAATTTTCCATTTTTTTATTTGTTTATTTATTTATATATTAACGTGTATTACATTTGTTTATATATTAATTGTAATAGATATTACAATTGTAGATAAAAATGCATCAAATCCTCTATATTTGATTTTAATGATTCTTACGTGAGCATCGAAGTACCAAAAGTGATCTAGTTTTAACAGATTAAATATTTGGACGTTACGTTTTTACATGTGTCACTCAACACGCACTTACATTTACAATTACATGTAGCCGTGAATAAATAAAATTTATTTTTAAAAATGAATAATCAACAACTGCGATTACAGATTAAAATTGCTCTGGCTGACGTTGACCCAACTGAACAGTAGCTGCGAAATCGAGTTTCTCCCCGTTTACAAACCAAGCGAAGCCGAGAAAACGGATCCTAAGCTTTACGCAAATAATGTACGACGTTTGATGGCAGAGTGAGTATATTTTGTTAATGGTAAACGCATCGTCTGAAACTGTAACAGATAATTCCTATGCAGAACAGGTTTAAATATGGCACTTCAGTTGTAAATAACAATGTATATAATGTAGAACACGAAACTAGTTCTGTTTCGATGAATTTTTAAATTTATAAATATTGATTACAGGACAATAATTTAAATAGCTGTTGCGTACGCATGAAGGACCTTCTTGTAATAAATATTGGCTCATTCTTTTACCGTATGTTTTGCGATTAACAATAATAAATTGTTAGAAGTATTCGAAAGCACACGCCGAACTTCATTGTTTTATTAATCGATAACATCTTTGCTTTCTTTGACATCGTTTTTGTGTTTGTTTGAATTGGTTCAAAGGAAATTCATCTGTCTCAAAATATTTATTTCTCTTAATATAATTTATTAAATAATCATCCAATTATAACGAGTAAATGAAGCTTATCAAATAAAGTAAAATTTATGAATACCAAAATGAAAATTTCAAATAAAATCTTATTTACTTTTCAGAGCTTTGCAGATTCCAGTATCAGACTACACCTACAACGATTGTAGAATTATTACTAAAGCTCATCAGTTGCATATGCCTCATGCATCCATTTTAGTAGAAGCCCATAAGCTTCGTAATAAACTCGGGTACGTTTTTGTGTAACTGTTTATAAATATATGGTTTCATAAAAAAACAAGAACAACGAATATAAAACTTCTTTGTCGTTTAGGTTAGTAACAGCAAAAACAGAAGAAGAAATAGTACAGAAAAAAATAGGAAGACTTAGCGAAGAAGTTGACTTGCATGAATTTGCCCAACTTTTAAGAATCGACGAGAAAGAGCCTGCTCTCCAACAACTTTTCCGAATACATGATAAAGTAGGTATTATTTAACTTATTAATCAGAATATAATTTTTGTTACACAGGATAGGTTAATAATTAATGCTTCATGCTTCCAAAATTGTGAAATTCAACAATAAAAATTTGATTCTGAAGCTAAGGTCCATTATAAAGAGGGTTTCATTGTATCATGGATAAGACGTATTGAACAGATTCCTAGAATCAAAGTTTTAATTTGATATGTAGAGTTCATGTTTAATTTCTTTTATAAAATATTTATATTTAATGTTACTAGAAATAACACAATATCTGTATTTATTTGTTTAGATGGATTAAGTATTAAAGTACTTGGCTTATCAGAAATACTTTTATTGTTTGATGTTAGATGTAATAAAAACATTACACATTGTCAGTAGTATACATACTATAATATAGAATATGATAACATTATATATCCCATTTCCATTATATAGATAGGTACATATCCAGCTGAAAAAGTGGCTTGTACTTTTCTTTTCCTGCTCTGTAATTTCTATAGTCTATATACCTAGCTTTATAAGAAACTGTTCGATACTTCAAATTTGATTGGTTTATTATGAAGACCAGTATACGATTACGTAGTACATATGTGCATATATGCATTTATATTTATATTCGATTTTGAAGTAGTCACAGTATTGTGGAAAAATTATTTGAAAAACGAATTTCATGGTTAAAAATATTCTCATACAATTAGATATTTACGTCAATTTTAGACATTCAAAACAACTGTGTGCAATAATACTCCCAAAAAATTGTTACTGGAATGTTGGTGATTCCCTTGGCAAAAAATTATGTAAATAAAGTTTTTTCGTATTACTACAAATAACGTAAAACAAAAGAGAAAAGAATGTTTTGTTTTGAGTCTGGTAATAGGATTCATTAATAAGGGAACATATATATCCCCACTTAAATAACACTTGTAATAAAAACTTTCCACTGAAGTCAACCCTTTACTCTTGGATTTTTTTCGAAGATATCTACTGTTATTTTAGCCTTTTTTTGAATCTATCTTTTTTGTGATCTATTTATATGACAATTAATATATAGTATATTTCAACATAAAAATGAAGCCAAAGGTTTTAAAAATGGTACTTCTGTCTAAACATGCTTTTATTTATTACAGTACAAACATTTAATATAATTTTTTAGCATAAATCACTTATACCTTACAAATACATGATATTTTATAAAATACGTAGGTATCTGGTTGATAATCGCACGTGTCACAATAATAATTTTTAATTCTTAACAAACGCTAATGCAACATTGAAACTTTTTATTGTTAGTTATTTTATCACGAAAATTTCATTAACATTTTAGTGAGAGTGTTCTGATGAAAATGAAGCTAATTGTAAGTTAACAGCATTATAATGAATGATACAAAATGTTTTATTATTTCAGAATGGATCAGGTAAAATAGATTTTGAGGAGTACATATTCTCAGTATTAGCTACGTCAAACGCAAATACTGAACTAGACAAGGTAGAAACAGCATTTGAAGTAAGTATCACACCTATTTTACGTTATTACTTACGACATGTACTACTTGTAATATAATATATTTAATAGGTATGTGGCACGAAATCATTATCGTGTATCGGTAAAATGGAGTTGAGGAAGGCCTTAAAACTGTCATTAAATGTACCACCAGAAGAGTCCGATAAAATTTTCCAGCACGCCAAAATTGACTTTCCAGATACGACAGTGAATTTCGGTAAATTATATTATTGCCTATATTATCCTTTCATTTTATTCTATGCATTTTGTTGTATATAAATTTTATGATAGTATTAATATTTTGATTATTGCAGATATTTCCCTCAAAGTTCTGCAGAATTATAAACGTATTTTTAATGACATCAAATCTATATGTAAGATTTAACATAGTTGTTTTTCAAACATTGTTTTTTTGTTTGTTCAACGTTCATGAATTATATCAGTCTACATCAAATATATTTCACTAAAAAGATGCTAATTATCACTTTTATCACTTTTTAATCAATTTATTTAAAGAAACAAAACGCATAGAATAATGAGGAGAAACTTTTTAATGAATTTTAGTAGTTAATATTTTTATTCAAGAGATTGTACTTATTGCGTAACTAACACTTATTTTCTCTTTTTCTATGTTTAATAGAATTTGTATTAGCCGCATTATCGGAACGTGCAGAATACACTCACATATTTGCTATTAATACCGAAACGAGGAAAAAAAGTATTTGAGAATATTTCATCAACTCGTTCCACACTCATCGAAGAAGCAGGACACGCGGTGTTTGTAGCAGGCCGCTTCTCAATCAGATATGCGCCAGTCCTGTATAATTTTGTTCTATTTTTGCTGATATTACTACTTTCTCAACGATTAGATAGCCATTTTTTGTTAGTATTACAGCGTTGATGAAACAAGAAATTGTCTTCGTGAGGATTAAGCAAAACACGGAACGAGAAGATTGCATAGAATATTAGGGACTCTATTAAATAAACGATATTGTTGCCTAGCGTTCGCGTAGCGCAGATATATATTTCTTTATTTCTAGAAGAGCTTCTTTTGTACAAACGAAGTCAATTTCCAAAGGAGCCCTTACGGTTCGGATTAAATATCCTACTTAAAAAAGTAAGATATGTATAAATACTGTTTCCTTTGAAAC